CAGTTGGGTCGGCGCACCATTCAATGAAAATGGAATGGCTATGTTTAGTACAGGAAGAGGCGTGTGCCGTATTTGCAGCATTCTGCTAAACATTACTCCACATATTTCCTTCGGTTGTTGAACCGTCATTTTCAGCGTGGATGTACCCAAACCGGCATGTCAGCATTCGCGTTGTGTTCACCCCTGTTATGCTATAAAAGTTCGTCTTTTTTGGCGAAGCAGGGCAGCAATCCACAGGACAGTTATACACCGACTAGAAATATAGCGAGGAAAACCAGGAATAGCCCACATGCGCCTGTTAAACACCTGTTCAATCCCTTCCTCGTTGTCTCAACACAGCCTGTGCCGTGATTCTCTAGCATGCAGACACAACCCACCAATTTTGTACAAAGCTGTGACGTCATGGTTATCCAATGACACCTGCCTGACATGTAAACAGTCATGTCCACCGTCGAATTCATAGGAACTGCAAAAGTTACTATGGAGGGCACAGACAGTTGCGCCCGTGTTGACTACGCTTTCGAGGCGCCGTTGCTCCGTCTCATGCATTGGGATCTTTCCCTTGGACTCAGAGCCCGCAGTTCGTGCAATACCGCAGAAAGGCTTTTACACGGATTGGCCATCTCGCATAGTTGTTCAGTTAACAAAACGGAAGTCGTTGATTGTATTTGTGGGGGACATTATGAAGATAGGTAAGACAGTATAGAACATCTAATAGTTAATGCTAGTTACTATTGTTAATACTCAATTATTCCATTCTATTTCATCTTTTTATAATATTTCATGAACTATGACTAATTACTTAATGGCTTATAAAAAGTTAAAAATACTAAGTTAATAGCTAATACGGTTCAAAGTCCTATTCTTATTAGAATAACCAGAAGAATGGACAGAGAGATATATTGATATTTCGGCTACATGCCTTCATTGAAACAAATATCGGCCATAAAATTTCGCTGGTTATCCTATGAGAAATAAAGCTACCAATGCTATCTTGTCTAGTTGATCACCCTGATAAAAACGCATTCGTACACAGCCTGGACTTCGGATAGTTATAGCTAATCAGGTGGCGCCTTTTTATGAACTACGCGGATGAATGAACCTTACGCGGACGCCCCGCCGCAGCTCGTGTGAAACCAAAGACGCACACTACAATCGGAGGACCGCTTTGTTTGGCGCCGTGCCAAGGGAGCGGGAAGCCCTGCATCAGCTGGCGCGGTCCGCACCTGTTCGCCAGCTCACTTGGGCTGAATGTTAGACCAGCTGCCCGCAGCCGGAGCAGACCCCACCGTCCGCTGAGCGCCTGCACCCTGCACAGTGCATGCTGCAGGTCTAGAGAAAACGGACTGGGGTGCAGCCAAGCGAAGGCTCGCGCGGCACCTGGCTGCGGGACACTTCGACGATGAATTTGGACTAGTCGTGTCGGGGCAGAGCCGGAGTGCAAACTTTTGTCCGGAAGGCCGCAAGGTTCAGTTCCTGACAAAGCAGGTGGCACTACTTCAGGCGAGGCTGCCTCAGTGCCGGGGCGTCGCTGCGGTTCACCAGCGTATGATCAATAACCTCTAGAAGTCATTTAATATCCAGGCCAGAGGATTGCGTGTTGCCCGCATACGCGCAAGTTGATATTATACCATTGGATATGGACTCATTGTCACGGCAACTCCCCAAAGACAGCCCGGCGGGGCCGAGTCCAATACAGTGCTGGTGAGGGAACGCAGGCATCAAAGGCAGTGCCCGCTGACGGAGTGGACACTGCCGCGACGACCTGCGCTGCTGGTGAACCCTGCTGAGACGATCAACCCCGTGGGTACAGTGAACCCTGCTGAGACGGCTGACGACCAGCCGCGCCGTTACAGTGGATCCCTGCTACGACGACCGGTCCCGCTGTTACAGTTCACCCGTGCAGTGGCCGCCCATGCCCCCGGCAGAGTGCGCGCCTGCTATGACGAGGGACCCCGTCGGCACGCTGGACCTGCCGCGTAGGCGGACCGCGCTGTCTAAAGTCGGCCTGCGGTGACACGTCGGGGCAGTCGCGGCCGGCGCCCGCGGGCGGCGCGGCGGCGGCGGGAGCCTCGCGGCCGGCTCCGGCCGCGGCGCGCGCCGGCCGCCGCAGACCGCAGAGGGCAATGACAGGGAGAGTGAGAGACGCGCGCGCGCGCCGAGAGAGAGAGCAAGTGAGCGCGAGAGTGAAACAGCTGCACGGTCGGGCCGGGCCGCGCTCGTCCCGCCGGACAGAGCGCGGCAGACGCGGAGGCACTGCCGGTGTGACGTAGACGGCGGTCGCAGAGGTAGAGGAGTCTCGGCGCACCACTTCGGGTCCAGGTAGAGCGGGACACCAGCTCTCTGCCTCTCAGAACAGGTGTACGGACAGAGCACGCGAGACGCAGTCGCCGCTGGCACTGACAGGATGCGCAGGAGAGACGAGAGACGCATACGCCTGACGAGGCGCCGGTACTGATCCAGGCAGAGCGTGGGAGGCGCAGAGCAGAGCACCGGCACTCAGCCTGTCTGACCGGGTGCATGGGTAGAGGAGCACTGGAGACGCAGAGCTGGACGCCCGATCCCCGTCGCTCTGGACAGGTGTACTGGCAGAGCACGGGAGCAGGGGGACGGGAGCCAGAGAGCGACGACACAACAGCTGTGCCACGGCGCGGGTCGCCGCCGCCACAGACTCTGGGCTCAGGGGAGGCCGGCGGGAGCGGGGTTGGGGCAGCGTCGCCCCGCGTCCGCTGGCGCTGAGGACCTGCCGCCGTCCGCGCCGAGCCCACCATGCCAGCGGCCCCGTCGCCGCCCGTCCCGCCGCTACCTGAGACCGGTGTCGCGTGGCGCGCGGGCCGGCGGCGACGGCAGCACATGCCGCCGCCGCCGGCCGGCCCGGGCCCGCGACGAGGCTCGATCCGGCCCCGAGCCGCGTCCGCCACCGATCCCACCAACAGCGGGACGTCCCCGGGTCGGCCGGCTGACCCGCGCCGAGCCCAGGATGGCAGCGAGCCGGCGGCCGCGGCCGGGGCGGCCGCGAGCCGGCGGCCGCGGCCGGGCGGCGCGTGCCGGAGGCGGGGTGGCGGCGGCGTCCCCGACTGGTTTGCAGACCACTGGCTGCTAGTGCTGACGCGCCGGCCGATGGGCGCGCGGCCCGAGTTGTGTAGAAAGTTTGATTGCTTGTCGCGGCGACCGCACCCGGTTGACCGCTGTCTGACTGAACCCGGTCCGACCAGCGCTCTGCAGCAGGCCAGTGGCGTAGCCACGGGTCGGGGATTGCGCGGTCGTGCCCCTGGCCCTGGAGGCGGCCGGGGCAGGGGCCGAGGCCCTTTGGCGCCTCTGAGCCCGAAAGTCTCGGTACAATTTGACAGTTTCAACCACTCATAGGGCACATAAAAGGTAAAATTGGTTTATGAAGCATCAAAACAGAATCTCGAGCTTAAAACGTCACCGGAGTCCTAAAAAAGAACACTGAGAAATGAAGCAAGGGGCTCTACTGGAAGTGCTCCTTTGACCCCATTTGGCCTCTGGCGAAATCTTGGCGGTGCCTGTAGCCTCGCCTGTCACTGATGGGTACACTGAGCCAGGTCCGGCCACTGCTGGATTGACCAAGCCCCCGCTAGCTGCTGCTGGGCAAAGTGAGCTCAGTCCGACCGGTGCTGACCAGAAGATGAGAGCGCCAGCCGTCAGGAGGAGATGTCAGGAGCTCCTGGTCCTGGACAAACGCAATACCGTCTACCAAGACCCTCAGTCTGAGCCAGCGCAAAAAAAAAACAGACGCTCCGTGCCCTGTATGATGCCTATTGCATGAGCGGGAGAGAGCTAAGTGCAACTGGACAAGCGAGCAGCATCGCGCAAATAGGCCTCGACACGACCGGGCTGGCGTGGGCGGCGCCATTAGGCTGTGGGAGAGGCGTGGGCTCTGCTGCCGCCCAGCGCGGCGCGGAGCCGTGGTGAGACGGCGCGGGTCCGCGGGGAGGGACCACCACACATGAGGCCGCTGCCAGCACACGGACGTCTTTCACACCTGCTGCGTCCCGGCGAATCACGCTCGGAAACATAGCTCCGTCCGTTTACGCAGAGAAGCGCACGCTGTCGGCGCGCGCAGCGGACTGCGCCGCGTCCGTTTACAGACAGGTCTGCAGAGCGGACACGGCACACACGCCCACAGTGCGGTCCATGGCGGTACCCGCCCAACGTGTGCCGCACCAGCCGCGTGATGCAACTACAACAATGGACAGCAGGCACGACGGAAGGATGTCCCCGCACCGGTAGCTGATCATCCCGTTGTGGATGGCCTCGAATGACCTTCCACCACGCTGCGGGATTTAAACCAATGGTACGCACATCGTTTTGGGGGCGCAGGTCTCCCAATTATCGCTCGTCTCTCATGTGTTCCTTTTTATTCTCGTGGTCCCTGAACGGCCCACTGTCATTTACGGAAGAAGCACATCGCATCAGGAAACGGTAAGCACGTTGTCGTCTGCTTCCGGCCGCCTCCGCCGCATCCCGAGAGTCGGTTCGTGTCAGTATGCACTACATGTATCTGATGGTGAGTTTGTGAGGGTTGGTGGGAGATTCGGCTGGGCCATCCGAGAGGGGGGGGGGGGACAAGGGCGGGGGACGTGAGCAATCGTAGACACATCCAGCTGGCTCAGAGAGAAAAAAACTTTTGCAATATTGTGTAGCAGAAACATCGCCACTTTTGGTTCACGTTCATGGTCCAGACACGAAAATATCAACATCACTCTGAAGCTCCAACATACTGCACAACGAACAGCACACGTCTAAATCATATCACCGGCGAGCAGGAAGAGAGCACAAACGTGGAAACCGCGGCAAATGGGGCGATGCTGGTGCCATGCACGGCGTGACCCGAGGACTGCGTGTCTCAGCGGCAGCCAGCCGCGCCGGCCGCGGCCCCGGCCGGCCGGGCCAGTGCACTGGCCGAGTCGTGCCATGCGGGCCGCGCCGCCGCCGGCCGGGGGTGAATGACTTGTCCACCGTGTCGGGCGCCTCACCTGGAGCGATCCCAGCCCGGCTGAGGGACGCCGCCGCCCGCGCGCCGCCGTCCGATCCACGTCCCTCGGCGCCACCACGGGCCTCACTCTGCCGGCGGCTCGTTCGGCACGGGAGCGCGTGTCACCGCCGCGGTGCGGACGCTGGCGGCCGGGCCCGAACGTTCCGCGCAACTCCTGCGGCGCGCGGCCGGCCGCCCGGCCGAGCTCCGGCCTCTGACGTCACGAGCGACCCGGTCCGTGACGTCACGCGGCGCTCCTGAGCGGCGCCGGCTGGTCAGCGGGACGAGCTGGCCTAGGCGCGGCCGGCCGCGTGAGTACCGGGTCTGGAGTACGGTGGCGCCGTGACAAGACCAGTCAGCGGACCGCGGCGTCCCCTGGCCACAGTACAGCTGGAGCGCTGGGGGCAGGACAGAGCAGTTGCAGTACCAGTCATCGGGCTTACATATCCTCTCCCCTAGGGCTTGGTTACCTGCCAGCTAGTGGACCACAGCGTCACCTCCCCGAAGCCCGGCTGCGGGATCAGTCAGTGTCCCACACTGTACACTCCCTAGGGTGCAGCTGCGGTACCGTTCACCGGACCACACCATATATTTCAGCGGTACAACTTTCGTATAAACGGTGTACCGTGACTTCTTACTGGGATGCAGCTGCAGTGCCACCTAGCGGGATGCCATCAAGGTACGTGGGGGGGAGGGGTCGCATGTTAATGGAGCGCCCGATAACGACCCATACCCAACCAGACAACTGGGGACGAAGTAGGTTATCACGTGGCATGGCTCTCCGTTCGGCGAACCGCACTGTCCTGGCGGGCAAACGCCTGGAAGCCAAGAACAGACCCAAGGTCCGATGCAGGCAGCAGGACAGCAATCGGCCTACTCGGCGCTCATAAGAGCTGCTTAGTTCCGTTTGATCCAACGCCGGTTGACAGGGGTGATTGTGACGGCGAGAGCTCTCGCCGGCTGTCGCATCCTGACGGAGAGGCTCAGCATGCTCAATATCCGGCATGCTCGCACCTGATCCTCCAGCGGACGCTGAAGCCTGAGGGAAGCGGCGACGGTCGTCCAACCATCTCTGAGCGCGAGTACGCCAGTCCTCGCGCGTCTGCTGCGGCAGGCAGTGTGGCCCCGCCGCAGGGGTATTTGCGCCGGGGTTACAGCGCCACCGGTGACAGCAGCGGCACCGGTGACAGCAGCGGCACCGGTCACAGCAGCGCCACAAGTCACAGCAGCGGCACCGGTTACAGCAGAGGCACCGGTCACAGCAGCACCGCCCGCCACAGCAGCGCCACCGGTCACAGCAGCGGCATTGGCCACAGCAGCGGCACCAGTCACAGCAGAGACACCGGTCACAGCAGAGGCACCGTCACGAGCGCGACCGCTCACAGCAGCGCCACCGGTCACAGCAGCGCCACCGGTCACAGCAACGGCACCGGTCACAGCAGCGCGACCGCTCACAGCAGCGCCACCGCTCACAGCAGCGCCACCGCTCACAGCAGCGCCACCGGTCACACCAGCGGACAGCGTCACGAGCGCGACCGCTCACAGCAGCGCCACCGGTCACAGCAGCGCCACCGGTGACAGCAGCGGCACCGGTCGCAGCAGCGCGACCGCTCGCAGCAGCGCCACCGGTCACAGCAGCGCCACCGGTCACAGCAACGGCACCGGTCACAGCAGCGGCACCGGTCACAGCAACGGCACTGGTCACAGCACCGGCACCGGTTACAGCAGCGGCACCGGTCACAGCAGCGCCACCGGTCACAGCAGCGCCACCGCTCACAGCAGCGGCACCGGTCACAGCAGCGCCACCGGTCACAGCAGCGCCACCGGTCACAGTAGCGCCACCGCTCACAGCAGCGCCACCGGTCACAGCAGCACCACCGGTCACAGCAGCGGCACCGGTCACAGCAGCGCCACCGGTCACAGCAGCGGCACCGGTCACAGCAGCGCCACCGAGCGCCACCGGTCACAGCAGCGCCACCGGTCACAGCAGCGGCACCGGTCACACCAGCGCCACCGATCACAGCAGCGGCACCGGTCACAGCAGCGCCACCATCACGAGCGCTGACCCCGCTGCGTTGGTTTTGTCAGCGCAGACGCGGGCCTGTCGCTCCGGAGGAAGGCCCAACGTCAGCGGTGTTGTCCTGATTAACTCCCCCTGTCAGAGTGACCGCAATCTTGACGTGTGCGCCCTTGTCATAGGCAACACTAGCTCTATCGCAACTACAAATGCCGATTGGATTCCAAATTTTTGGAATTCCGAAAATGTGTGAAGTCAAGTTTAAAAATTGGCCGGACAGGGGCAGAAATCTTTGGAATGTTTGGGACAGCCGACATCATCATGACGTGTCGTCAGTTTGTATGCATGATGTGCATCACTTACCCACAATCATTTTCTTTCTTTTCTTTCGATTTAAGTGAGGCAATGCAGCGACGCGAGTGGTGGCTGAGGCTGCTGGTTGTATGCAGTAGTGGCTTTATGCCAAAATATTGCAAACTTGAGAGCAACCTGATTTTTTGGACACCTTTTGGACGGACATCCGGTCCATCCTTGTAATTTGGATTGAACGTTGGACAAGAACTTCTAGAAATCGGCGCCTCCAATCGATGCGCCAATATCAAAGCTGCGTTGCCTCGACAGATGCGCTCCTATCACAGAAACGCGCGCACAGTCCAGCGTGATCGCTCAAGCGTGGGGCTCATCTCGACCCAGACCACAAGTTACGTAAGACTTACCAGGTTAAACCCACACGGTTCTGTCATTTGGGCGATGGTTGCGTCGCGCGCGTGAGCTGTCCGCTGAGGGGGCGCGAGCGGACAGGTCGCGTCCGACTCCAGACAATCAGTACCACTTGTCCGGCGGTGTCCATAACTCCAGCCCCCCCCCCCCCCATGCCGGATATTTCGCACCATGATGAGATCCGGAGGAGCTGCTAGCGGCGTGCGCTGCAGCCGCCGCCGCATGGCAGGCCGGTGGCTTTAGGTCCGGCGGGGCAAAACATGACGGCCGGCACGCGCCGAGACGCGGTAGTCGCACACGACTGCGGGATGGGAGAGGTTGGCTGGTAGGTGCCGCTGAGCACAGGTAGTCGCACACAACTGCTAGATGGGAGAGATTGGCTGGCAGGCGCCGCTGAGCACAGGTAGTCGCACACGACTGCGGGATGGGAGAGGTCGGCTGCCAGGCGCCGCTGAGCACAGGTAGTCGCACACGATTGCTGGATGGGAGAGGTCGGCTGCCAGGCGCCGCTGAGCATAGGTAGTCGCACACGACTGCGGGATGGGAGAGGTCGGCTGGCAGGCGCCGCTGAGCGCAGGTAGTCGCACACGACTGCGGGATGGGAGAGGTCGGCTGGCAGGCGCCGCCGAGCGCACCGGCTCTCGCGGCGTGACAGAAGGCGATTCATGAACCTAGCCCGTGGGCTGAGGAAGTAATCGGTTCTCAGAAAGAAACATATTGCATGCCATCGGTAAGTTATTCACACTCGACTTCCCGCGAAGTGCCAGATAACGCCCAGAAACATTTAATGGGAGCAAATCGTTTAGTACAGCATCATCATACCGCATGCACAACCAATGCATGGTATGCTTCCATCCATCAGAACCCGGAGAACTTCAGCGAGTGGCGATTATAAACAGCTCAGCTACATTCGTCACAGCACGCACAGTGCAGTAATCAAACCCAGCGGTAAACGATCCAAAGACACACTCTAGCAACCGTCCAACTATTTGAAAAACAGAGCCCGCATCCACACCCCGCTGGCTTCCGACCGTCAGTCGCCGGCCGAGAGAGTGCGTGACCTCCCCAGTCCGTGAGGGTTCGGAGCCCGCCCGACGACCTGCTCCCCGAGCCATGGGGGTTCGTAGCCCACCGAGACTGCCCCGCTCGACGACCTGCTCCCCGAGCCATGGGGGTTCGGAGCCCACCGACACTGCCCCGCTCGACGACCTGCTCCCCGAGCCATGGGGGTTCGGAGCCCACCGACACTGCCCCGCCCGACGACCTGCTCCCCGAGCCATGGGGGTTCGGAGCCTACCGACACTGCCTCGCTCGACGACCTGCTCCCCGAGCCATGGGGGTTCGGAGCCCATCGACACTGCCCCGCTCCCAGCGCTGCCGCTCCGTCCGCCCGAGAGGGCCGCTCTATCCTCCCCGGACGCTCGAGAGCGCCATCGTGATCTTCTAAAGCCCGAGAGCGCCGGTCCGTCCTCCCCATCCGTGGGGAGAGCTGCTCCGTTCTCCCCGCCCGCCGTCTCCGTGCTCGCCGCCCGCCCGGGAGCGCAGCCGTGCAGCACGACCGTGCAGTACGGCACCGCACCGCCCTGCAGCCAGCGGCGGCGCCTGCCTGTGCCGGCCGTGCACGCGGCCGTCAGCTCAAAATACCCGCTGCGTCCGCCGGCCGTCAGCGGCCCACCCGGAAGAGCGCGCCGCTCCCCACTCGGGGCGGCGGTGGCGCGCTGGGAGCGGACGGCCGCGGCGCAGATGGAGGCCCCGTCTGGGCGCGGAGGGGGCTGCTGGGTTGGACCATGGCACAGTCAGGGTGTGCTGGGTCAGGTCAGGGATCGGGCAGATCGGTGATAGGGCAGGTCACGCGACGGGCATAGGGGTGTTGGGTCAGGTCTGGTTGGACGGAGGCATGTTAGGTAATGAGATGGTCAGAAGAATGCCGGTCTGGTCAGAGAGAAATCCTGAATTATTCTTACTCTCATCACTGGGTCAGGTCAAAGGACCGGCAGACGGGTGCTGGGCAGGTCAAAGGACTAGGCAGGTCAAGGGATGGGGGAAGTCAAGGAATAAAACAAGATGTTCAAGTTCCCCCCCCCCCCCCCGCCGCCAAATAGTCATCGTATTGCAAATGCAGCGGAGAGCAGCATCTCTTACCCGCCTGTGGGCATTCCTGGCGACACGAGGTACACGTTACAGAGCTCCTGCCCCCGATCAGGCGAGAAACAAACTGGCCGCGCGTCTTTTTTGAGCGCACCCCCAGCCTGAGAGCATATCTCTTCTCAGACCGCATTAGTCTGCCTGACCTCCGTGTGGGATCCAGCGGACAGGTGACTGAGGTCTACCTGTTGCTCCGTTTCCGTCTTCTCATACTATGAGTCGATCGATCCTCCATCCATCCTGCTTAGCTAGCTCAGATGTTCAGCAAGAAAA